TGCTCCTCCTGGGATGTGTCCTGGGGCAGTTAATTTTTAAGTTTAACCAAATATTCTTACACTGACACCTCCAAACTGGCCAACACTCTGTTTGATGCTTATGAGGGGCTGTGAACACAGGATGGACTGAGCTAACCCTGGGACGTATGAGACAATAGGCTTGTTCTGTCCTGAGCTGCTGTGTTCCTGGTAATTTGCCACTTAGCAGTACAGAGCTAATTGAATTTGTTAAAGAGTGGGCTAGAGAGATGGGTCAGTAGATAACGTGTTCTCTAAGACCTGAATCTGAGTTCCCAGATCCCATGCAAACTTGTACATGTTTCTATAATCACAGCACTTCTATAGAGGGACGGGAGGCAGTGACAGGAGAATCCTCAGAAGCCCTAGGCCTCCACCTGGTTTATGGAACAGAAACACAGCAGAGACCCTTCTGAAGTTGGAAGGCAAGGGCTGGTACTTCACTATACACATGAGAGTTAAAAATTACATTCATTATGGACATTTTTATTCATGATTATCTTGGGTGTTTCAACTAAACAAATGTACACTTTATTATGTATAAACTATGCTGTTGTGCTAGTGTATGGTAGACATGTCCTTGCTTATGGCTGTTTTCATTGTATGTCACAATGTCATAAGGCAGAAATGTTAGAACTAGAGCCAGTGTGAGACAGCTGAGTGAGTAAAGGCACTTGCCACCATGTCTAATGAGTTCAATCCCTGAGACCGACACTGTGGACAGAGCAAGCTAATTCCCAAAGGTTGTCCTCTGCCCTCTATGTGCAAGCTCACGTGTGCCCTTTCCCAGCAACAAATTGTAAATAAAATATAATAAAGTATTAGAACTCACTAGTCACCAAAGTTTTCTTCACATAAGCTCTTTCCATTCAAACAGTCTTGGGTTAATTTTTAAAAGCAACTTCAAATGTGATAATTAGATAGTCATGGACAATACTGAGAGATGTTTAGGACCAAATCCCTAAGCTAAATAAAGTCAGGGACAAAAACAAAACAAAAAAAAATAGGAAAAAAAAACAGAAAAAGATACAACCCCAAAATATCACAGTTAACACAAAAGCTCCTCCTCAGAGTGGTGTTTCAGTTTTGAGTCTCTTAGTATCTGCCCCTTACCCAGAGCACCTGAGTCTCCTCCAGCCAGGTTCCTTGACTGCTTGCAGGCCTCAGATGTCAGTGGGCATGCATCAGTGAGTGATTCAACTGACTCTCCCCCATTATGTGTCTTACCCCCTTCCTGCTGATGTCGCTGGCTCCCAGCTTGTCACAGTAGCCCACCAAGACCCCTCTTACCCTGCACAGCATCCACTGTCGCTAATGCCTCCGCTTTCTCCCTCAAGCCTCCATTTCCAGATAGCTCTCCCTAATTAGACTTGTCTGGCATTTACCCCCTAAGTCTCTAAGACAGTCTGCTTAGGGAAGTTAGTGGGGGAAATGGGGTGTCTACTTGTATATTTCCCAGTAATGTCAGAAGTTCTGATTGTAAAGCAACTATGTTGTGTCTTGAGCTGTTGTGACAGCGCTTCCAGAGGTTCTTGAGAAGCTGGGCTCTCCTAGAGTGGGCAGTAAATAGTAGCTTCACCCTAGAAAGGATGCTATAAAGGTCAGGTGTCCAAGGGCATGTCTGGACTTTGGAATTCCGTTTCATCCTGTAAAACTCTGCCGTTAGAGGGATAAAGGAGATGGACAACCTTAGTGCAGCCCTCCTTCCAGGACAAAGCTTATATAGCCCCGAATCTATAATTCAGCATGTTCTTTAATTTAAATATTTTCAAGTTTGCTCTTCATGTGTGAACATAACTGGAGGCTAGAGGGCGGCTTTTGGGAGTCCATACTCTCCTTCCACTGTGGGATAAGGGTATTGAATTCATGTTATCAGGCTTGTGTGGCAAGGACCTTTATCTGCTGGGCTATCTCTTGCCAGGTCTGTTTAAAATACAGATTCTCACCGTGTAGCTCCGGGTAGCCTCTAATTCTACCTCTTTCTGTTTTCATGCCCAGGTGTGGGGTTTGCAGGCATTGTCACCATGCTGTTGGGCTGTGCAGCATTCAAATTGAGGTGACAATAAAGACCCTCAGCTCCTGAGCAAAACTCTAGAAGACGCTTTACAAGTGCAGACCCCTGAGCTAACAGTCACCTAATAAGATAGATACAGTAGGTTGAGTATTGACGGTGTAGAACTCCATTCACTTTAGATCTATGAATGAGAATTTCTGGAAAGAAGCTTTGACTACAAAGGCTGATTAACTGATTAGAAATTCAGTGGTTGCAAGTCCAAAGCCAAATTATCTTGGCCATCTCTAGCCCTCTTAAAAGCCACCTCTGCCCTTTTGTATATGTGACCTAATGTCTTTGTAGCCATTAGTTAAATCACTTGGAATACACAAACAGTGATAGCTTCTAACAGTGCAGAGACTTAGTCTGCCGGGCGTCCCACTGCCTGAGCCCTGTGACTGAGCTGTTCTGTGACTCCCTACCTGATATTTCCACCAACATTTGAAGAATGTCTGGATTTATGATTTTCCTTGTTCTGTTATTTAAAAGCTTCCTGAAACTATTTCCATATTGGAAGTGGAATTTGGAGTAACCCAAATCCACGTTCCTGGGGCACGGTCTCATATTTGACTCCAGAATAAACTCTCTTCTCCCTTCCGAGATGAAAGCTGTGTCTTTGTATCAACAAGTTGAACCTATTTATTTTGTGCTTCATCACCAGAAAATTGATGCTCTAAGTTTTTACTCAGTAAATGTGTAATGAAAGATTTATTTTAATAGCTTCAAGGACTGTTGGCTTTTTGAGGCTCTTGACTATTTGTCACGGGAAACCACTTGTTAAAATGTTTGCTGCAGGAAACTTTCTGAACTGTGTCATAGCAGGTTGATTTATTCTGTGACCTTGGGTGCCAGTCACCTCCTGGGACTGCTTCTGATTAATTTATAAGTTTTAAATAGCTCTGCAGAGGGTCTCAGAAATCAAAACATAGCTAAATGAGATTAGTGGCATATGGCATACAAAGGTTATTATTGAAATAATAAGAAAATAAGAAAATGTTACTAACCATTAACTTTAAAAACACAAAACAGAATCTGGTAGGTTTTCTGTTATTGTTTGGTTTTGATGTGGGTGTGTTTGTGAGCACGTGCATGTATATGCGTATGTATGTGTTTGTGTGTGTGTGGAGGGGTGTTGTTGTTTTTTGTTTTGTTTTTTGTTTTTTTTTGTTTTGTTTTGGGTTTTTTTGTGGGATGTATTCAGCTTTTCAGGAAGAATCTCTCCCCTTGACCTTTGTCTCTTCAGTCTGATTTGTAGTTATTACCCTGAAACTTGACAGTGGGAAGCAGCAAGCCTGCATTGTCACAGAGACCCTTTGTGGGTCTGGGTCCATCACTGCTGGATGCTGTGGCCACACACGCTCTTAAGGCTCGAGTTAAGGCTCTGTCCTTATCCAAAAACTCAGTAACGGATCTCTCTCTCTCTTCTGGTCCACTCACATGGCCGTTGGCCGGATGTACTTGGCCAGACCCTTCTGTTTGTTGCTATATTGACCACTACATAGGGCAGTTTACAATATGACAGCTTGTGTTTTGCTTTCTTCTGAAACAAAGTCTTTCTCTTATAGCCCATGGGTGACTTGTCTCTGTCTCTGAGCACTGGGATTAAAGTCAAGCACCACTGTAACCAGCTTGTTATGACAGCTTTTGACTATGGAACAAGGAAAGGAGAAGGAAGAAGAAAGAAGGACATGGTCTTCCAGCCTTTATCTGAGAGGACATACTGTTAGCTATGTTCTGTATATTGGAAGCAGTCCATGCTCAAGGATTACAAACGAGTGCATATTTTTGGGCAGTATCTTTAAGGACCACCTTGGTCTTTTTATTAAGCACAGCAAAGGCTGAGTGAATGTGTTCAATCCTTCAGTAGAGTTTGCTCTCTGTCCTGTACAGCATGATGTACACCCAAGCCCCAGCCACTCCTTGTTCACAGTGAACTCAGGTCGATTGCAGTTGGACCATACAGCTCTGATGTAGATCGAGGGTAACATGCAGGTGCCCTTTGTCCTGAGAGTTTCGTGACTCTTAGAATAATGTGTTATATTCCTGTAGTTTGCCAACAGCTGATACTGAGTTTTCCCACTACCTCATATAAAGGTGGAGGTGATAGATTTGTTGGTTTGTTTGATTGTAGTAGTTATTTCACCTTTTCTATGTATAACAAGACATTGTAGGGTATGTGTATCTCTGTGGTGTGTGTGTGTGTGTGTGTGTGTGTGGTGTGTCAGGGCATTTTGTTGTCAGTTCTAACTCAGTTAAACTGGGAAGAAAGAAACGCATTCCATGTTCAGTCCCGCAGTGTGCTTGTACCCGGTCATACAGCCTGTGGATTATTAGCATTGATTTTTTCTTTCCTTTTTTTCCCCTCTTTCACATTGATGTACCCGTTTCAAGATTTCAAGACTTTCTTCCTGGTACCACATCTCCCACCAGATAGCCAGAGCTTGTGAGCGCCAAGTTTTATAATTAAAATTCTGTTACATTTCCCCAAAACAGCACAAATGATTCCATTAAGCCTGGAAGAAAACATTCGTAAGCACTTTACCTAGTAATTTAAATATAACACTCTGGCAGCATCAGTTTGGGTATTTTTAATTCCAATTAGAAGACTATTACTGAGCATTAATATCCTCTGCACTGTGTTCCACTGTGGTCTCGGTTTCATTTCGGATGTCTAGCTTTTAAACAAACAGCTTGGGTACACAGCTACAGCAACCTGCATAGTTTCTCATGGCCCTTGGGAATCACCAGGTCCCCGGCATAATTAGTATAAATCAAAATCCTCTAGACAGTGACAGGAAAATGGTATGTTTGGACAGCAACTTATCAAAATGACCTACTTAGTTTAAGAAAACTACTGTTTGCGCTTACATGGTAACCTGGATGCTTTCGCTGACAAGATTTTATATCACCCCTCCCCCTTCTCTCTTAGAAAAGGAACGGGAATGGAAAGGGCCGTTCTACTTCATCCAGGGTGCGGACACTCAGTTTGGGCTGATGAAGGCCTGGTCCACCGGGAATTGTGACACTGGTGGTGACGAGTGGGGGCAGGAGATCCGTCTCACGGAGCAAGCTGTTGAGGCCATCAACAAGTTGAACCCCAAACCCAAATTCTTTGTTCTCTGTGGTGACCTCGTCCATGCTATGCCAGGTAAGCAAGCCTGGGGCTGTCAAGGAGGGACTTTCTTTCTTCATCTTCAGCTAATCCTGACCAAGTATAGGCAGGAAAAAAAATAGATTTTTCTCTCAAAGACATCTCTGTCCAGTGTTGTTCCTACTCTTCAAGTTGTTGTACTATTTATTGAATATCAGAAAATGCATGCTCACTTTTTATTTAGAATTTGGGAACACAATCACAGTAATTAGGCAGAGTTACCGTTCAGATAATCCAAGCTTAGTCCCACATGTGTGACTGTCCCAATCCCACATCTGTAACTGTCCCAGTACCACACCTGTGACTGTCCCAATATAACACATGTGACTGTCCCAGTACCACACCTGTGACTGTCCCAGTACCACACCTGTGACTGTCCCAATCCCACACCTGTGACTGTCCCAGTACCACACCTGTGACTGTCCCAGTACCACACCTGTGACTGTCCCTATACCACACCTGTGACTGGCCCAATACAACACATGTGACTGGCCCAATACAACACATGTGACTGGCCCAATACCTCATGTGTGACTGTCCCAATACCACACCTGTGACTGGCCCAATACCGCACCTGTGACTGTTCCAAAACCACACCTGTGACTATCCCAATACCACACCAGTGACTGTCCCAAATCCACACTTGTGACTGTCCCAATACCACACCTGTGACTGTCCCTATACCACATGTGACTATCCCAGTATCACATGTGTGACTGTCCCAGTACCACATGTATGACTGTCCCTATACCACACCTGTGACTGTCCCTATACCACACTGTGACTGTCCCAATGCCACATGTGTGACTGTCCCAGTACCACATGTGTTACTATAATTCAGCCCCTTTTGTTGCTTCTCTTTTTAAATTTTTATTTTATGTGTATGAGAGTTTTGCCTTCATGTATATATGTGCACCATGTGTGTGCAGTACCTGCATAAACCAGAAAAGGCATTGGAACTTCCAGACCTTTGTGAGTCACCATGTGGGTGCTAGGAATTGAACCTAGGTCTCCTACAAGAGCAGCAAGTGCTCTTAACCACGGAGCCATAGCTCTGGCCCTATTCTCTTTGCTTGTTACAGTTTTATTTCTCCCATATCTGTTGTTGCTTTAGTTTTGGCTGGATCCAGGGCCTCAGAGGTTGTTATCTGAACTAAACCCAGAGTGAAGATGTAGGAAGGAAAGGGGACAGCTAGAGCTGTTTTCTTTAACATTCTTGGAGAGCAACAGACAGGGAGAACTCTCAGGAGTGTCCTTGTCTGTTTGCTGGTGTCTTACACAAAGTCATTCATGTGACCATCCGTCTATGACTCCGCTAGGTAGAGCCCATGGATATCACCTATAGAAATATCTGTCCTGGATTAGGCCTGTAAAAATGTGATAGGAAGAGGGAACAGAAGACAGCCACCTCAGTCAGAACCCAGAAGCCTGGGCTACCCCAGTCAGAACCCAGGAGCCTGGGCCACCCCAGTCAGAACCCAGGAGCCTGGGCCACCCCAGTCAGAACCCAGGAGCCTGGGCCACCCCAGTCAGAACCCAGGAGCCTAGGCCACCAGTTCTCCACTTGTGATGGGGCAGGTGAGCAGAGACAATCCCCTTATCTTGGACTCTCACTGAAACAAGCAAGAATGTAGAACTGCCACACATTCTGGAGAAAGTAGAGATGAGCAATGCAGAGACCAAGACCCAGTGACAGCTTTGGGATCCCTGGATCCAGATGTGTGCCATGGGGACAGAACCTCCCTCCCCTACAACAGAGGTAACCATCTGGGCAGCTCTACATGGAAATATATTTGGGAAAATAGTCCTTTGTTTGTTTTGTAGTGAAGTTAAATACTAGCCACTGATGACTTATGGCCAGGGGTTCATAGGTGTTCAGACAGTATAATGTGGAAACAGCGATAGGCCTTAGCGTCTGACATAGTAAGGCAAACTGAGGTGATGAGTGTGTTGATGCAGTACATCGTTGCTATTTCCAGATGGTCTGCTTTGCAGTTAGCTGGTGTCTTGGGGATGATAAGGTCCATGTGCTATCACCTTCGTACCGTTGCTCTGGATCACATAATAGGCGAAGGTCTGCTTCTGTTGGTCCTTGAACATAGATCAAAAAGTTAGCATGTTTCTACCCAGTGGCTTCAGGATATCATGGAGTATCATGGAATTATATAACATATTCTTGTGGATGTTTACCAACTTGTTCTGAATTATGTTAATATATTCAGCCACATTTCAAAATCAGATGTAAGATAAAAGCTTTTCTTGCAGTTACATTGCTTCTTAAGTAGGATATACTAAACATAAATAAACGAAAACCATTTTATGAGCAGTCCTAACAATTGATCAGAAGACCTTGTAAATAGGAACATGCAAACTTCTGAACATACACTTTCTATTCAGTGTGACTGGGTCAGAGCTCATAATCTCCGTGAAGATTTGGGCTGTTTCGGGAGGTTTTAGCTGAACCACACAGAGGACTTTAACTGTTTTTGAATATTTTGTCTGAGATGAACATTTTAAAGCTAGTTATAATTTTTAATATGCAATAACTCGCTCCCCTCATTTAGTGCATTCACCAGGGCTGGCTAGAAAAGCAATTATTTGCTTTGACTACTTAGCACATTGTTAATGACCAAATGCATGCATTAATAAGCAAATAAAATCAGAAAGGTTGCTTTTAATTCTATCATAAATAGTATCTTGAGTCAAGTAGATATTAACTCAAAAGGAAGTAAAAGAACTTTCCAAATAATGAATTTTTTAATGAAAAGTAGCAATATCCTTTTTCATTGTAACTATCCATCGTAACATTCATTCATCCACAAACATCTGCTGATTGCAGAGTAAGTGCCCGTTACAGCACTGGTCACTATGGGTATACCAGTGGAAATGAGAGACCAGGGCCTCTGCAGAGTAGAGGAGAAGGGGAGCCAGAGGCGTAGGGAGGAGGAGGAGGCACTGGTGCCAGGGCTCCAGCTTGAGTTTGGATAAATATGTCTTCATGTTACAGGCACCCATATGTTTTATTTTAATTTTCAATTAAACTCTGTGAGATTAGCCACATTAAAAGTGGCAAATTAAGATCTTGTCCATGTTACTGAGCCCATAGATTTTCTGTCTTTCAGCTCTTTAGCCCAGGGTGACTTTTGTAGGCCCTGCTGACTTTGAGTCATCTACCCACTGAGAGTGTCCCCAGGAGTCTTGTTAGAATCCAATAGTTCCATGTGGAGGACAAATCAGAATGTGATGCTTTAATTTTGGAACAAGAGATTCCAATAAGCCTCTTGCTTGTCACTGACACACAGGTCTATCCCCATGTATTTGGACTTCGGTAGCTCCATGAAACAGAGAACACAGGTTGATTCTTCCCTTGGAATAAAATGTCTTGGAAGAGCTCTTGTATGTTAGCTCTGCCTGAGCAGCTATGCCGTGCTTGAGATTCTTGTGAATGTTAGCCTCAAGAGCTTCTGTTGTGTAGAGGGACGCAAGCCCTTGTTCACATCACTCGACTTCTGTAGCTGCTGGAACAGTGCACACTCACTCTGACAGATCTGGAGCTTCAAAGTACAGTATGAATCTACAGGGCTGTGCGCCTCTCCCACGTAGAATACATTTCTTGGCTTGTTGTGCATCTTCAAAGTCTATAGTCTGGAGTCTTCTCTGGCCCTTGCTGCAACCTCTGGGATTCTCCTTCCCAATCTGACTTTCCTTCCCTCCCTCCCTTCTTCCCTTCCTTTTCCTGATACAGACCTGTGTGATTACACTGGGCCTGCCTGATAACCTAGAGTAATCTTTCCAGTCTGCAAAGTCCCCTTTGCCATGGAAGATAAGGTATTCACAAGTACTGGGAGTTAGCATGTGGATACCTCAGAGGGCTTTATTGAGTCTATCACAGATAACTTGTGATGAGTGAAATTCAGCTCTATAACCAGCTAGTGTTACTGCTGCTGGCTTACGTCCTTGTAAGAGCAATGAAAACCAGATCCAATGGTTATTTCCATTTTTGCTGGTGGGGTATCTGGCTCTGAACAAGGAAGTACCTTTTCCTAAGGCCTTGTATCCTAAATGTGGTACAGTAACTTCTTTTCTAGACCTCTTGCATTTCCCACTGTTGTCTTGCTATTAAAAAACATGGATCCAAAACTGACCAGAGCTTACTGGAGATGGAGCATCTCTGCCCAGGCAGATGTAGCAAGTCTTTATAAAGTCACCAGATGAATCTTATAGACAATACAGTTGAGATGCACTTGCCAGACTAGGATGCTGAGGCCCAGTGCATTCTGTTTTTCATGTATTATATAAGATACCTGTGTGCATGCCAGGAGCCACTGAGAATCCCCTTTGTGGTTGTCATTGACTGTTTAAGCAAGAGAACCACCACTCTTTTAAACGTTTGCCCAGGTTTTGGGGGAGATGCTTTTATGTGTGTAGGTTTTGTTTTGCTTCTTAAATACTCTGAGTAACTAAAGCAGGATGCTTTCTCATGTAGAAAACACCCACAGCAGCATGTTGGCAAAGTGCCCTGAAAAATGGGCACGGCATTTTTTTGAATGGGAGTTGTACATATATAGCCAGGACTGAGTTTTTATTTGGACAATGTACATGTACAGAACTCTTTTATCTGCCATTACAACACTCAGGGGTCTCTAAAAACTAAGATTTTTTTTCTTAAATTTGAGATTGACTTGATTGGTAACAGGACTGCCCTGAATTGACTCAGGATATTCCTGCTCTTTATCTAATGGGGTACTCGCACATTTGTTAGTAGAGAATTTCTGAGCTCTGAAATGGGTTGTTCTCAATTTTCCTCCTTTGTTAGTATATATTCTGCCCCCTCTATTCCCCTTCTAAAGTTTGTAAAAATATAATTTTAAACAAGATCCAGCCCATAAAGTTTTTCATAAGAATTTATGGATCTGCAGAACAGATGCTTGCAACTTACAAAAAACAAAACAAACAAACAAAAAAAAAAACATCCATCAGTTGAAGCAAAAGCTTCT